TTACTATATGCATTTTTAGTTATGTCATTTTTTTCTTTAGTTATGACATTAATTTGATATGTTTTATTATGTCTCATATAGTATTTGGTTATGACTTCTTTTTTTTTTTTTTCCATTATATCTTAAAAAGTATGGAGTTATATAATTTTCTTTTTTAATTACAAAGCGTATATGATACATAATATTTGAAAAGAATATAATAATTTATTGAGAATAATTTTGGAAAAATAAAAACGCACCATTTCAACCGAAGAGATTCTTATATTAATAGATATAAGAAAAAAGAAGATCATAAAAATAAATGAAAGTCACTTACCACGTCTGGGCTGTGGTGGGTTTCGACCAAGGTAGGTAGGGTGGCTATTGGTTCGATGGGTGTCCAATTTACATAAATTGTGTTTGGTTAAAAGATTTGATAATGAGAATGAAAAGGAAAAGATAAATAGAAAGAAAAAAAGAAGAAAGAATTGATAGGATTTGAATTTCAAGTCATGATTGGTTAAATTGGAAAATAGAGAAGGAAAATAGTCTAAGTGAATCCAGAAAGTAGGATTGCATTTTGCTCTCATTTTCTTTTTCCATATATTTTTATTATAACCAAACAAAAAGTGAGAATGTATTTTCATTTCTTTTTCCATTTCTCTCAACAAATCCTCCAACCAAACAAAGAGTGAGATTGCATTTTCATTTCCTTTGGTTCATGGATTTGGGGAAGGAATTCAAAAAGAAAAGGAAAAATGTGTGCAAAATTTAGGTAATATGTAATTATATTTCATTTATATTTCACCTATCTTTTTCTTTCTTTTTCTAAATCTCTTTCTCTAAATTCATGAACCAAACACAACATTAAGGTTATTGCAAAAATTGATTATTTTATTTATTTTTTACTGACAGGACTTAAAAAAAAAGAATTGACTTTTTTTATTATTTTAGCCAATTTTGAAAACAAACGTTAGCCCGTCTAATTATTTATTTTTTTGTTTAAACTATAAAGTTGAGTTTAGTTGAGTTAGAATTTCGAACTTATTTAATTTTCGAGTTAGATTTGAGATAAAGATTTTTATCTTGATTCGGCCAGGCTCGACCTAACTCTGTACAAAATATTAATTTTAATTTTTATATTATTTAATTAGGAAATATTTTTTCGGTTTTGGTTTTTTAAAAATAGTTAAAAAAAAGTTTTCAATCCCATTTTTTTGTTTTCATTGATTTTTTTAAAACATTTTAATCAATTTTTTTTTAGCCTTTTACATCTAATTAATGTAGATACACTTAAAACATATATAATTTGTGCACTTTTTTATAAAAAAAAATATTGAATACGAAAAAAAATATACAAAATGTACGGAATATATATATACATTATATTTTTTTATATTTAATGAATTTTTGAAAGATTTTTATACAAATTTTATACTTTTTAAGTGTATCTAAATTAAGTAGATGTAAAAAGTAAAAAAATTGATTGAAATGTAAAAAAATACGAATAGAAAACTTAAAAAATAGTTTTTAAAAAATCAAAACCAAACTGAGTGATACTATAGTAAAAGATTAAAAAACTGTTTCTAACTGCTCTTCTTTAAAATAATACAATTATCTGAATTGTTAATTAAAATATATTTTTTACATTAGTAAAAATTATTAATTGACTTGATGATTTATTAATAAAATGAGTCATTTGTTATCCAATTAGCAACTTAAAGGGGCGTGATGTAATTTTTAAAATCACATGAGTCAATCCGTATTTAAATAAAACTCAGAAGTGTATTTGCAATTTATCCATAATAAAAATAGGCTCCATTTATTTAAACTTCTAATTAATAAATACAAATTTATGCATGCATTAAATTTTGTATACAATGGAAATCACTACGTGAAAGCTACATATGGAAATAATAATAATAAATAAATGTTTTAGGTTGGTGATTTCTTGTTATCCTTTAAATTTAATAGATAATAATATGGAACAACATACCATGGACATTGAAGAAACAGAAGCTTTGGCCGATGAGGCAGCTTGTAACTTCAAGGTGCATGAAGGATTGCGCAAGGCAAATAAAGAGGCATACACACCTATCCTAATTTCAGTAGGGCCTTACCACCGTGGTCAACCCAAACCACTTGCTATGGAAAAACGTAAAGAGCATTATTTGGAATTGCTCCTTCAACGTAACAACAATCTGCGTAAGGAGGATTATTTAGACTCTATGAAGAAATTAGAAGAAAGAGCTCGCAAGTATTATGCAGACCCAGTTGACCACCTCAATGGTGATGAATTTGTGAAAATGATGCTATATGATGCTTGAAAAAAAAAAAAAAAAATGATGTTTGCTTTGTTATTGAGTTTTTTCTTGGTATGTTTGAGTTTCGTGTTCGCAAGGGTGAACATCAACAATCGCATGTGGGTGATGAAGTCAAAGTATCATGGAAGAGAATACAGATTTGCAATGACTTGATGTTACTTGAAAACCAACTTCCATTCTTTATTATATCTGAATTTTATGACATGAGCTACGACATGATAGTGACCCAAAATCCAAACCAGATTCATCATGATCCTACCTCCACCTCCACCCTCACGAAGTTGGCAATGTTACCTATACTTGAGAAGCTACCAGGAGGGATTGACTTTTCCAAAATTGATTTTGAAAATACATCCGTCTCTGAAAGCAAGCATTTTCTTGACTTGATGCATAATGTTTGTCTTCCCTCCTCCTCCAGAGATGAATCAAATAACCACCAAAACAAGAATCAGACAACTTGCTTTCAAATGCCGTGTGTGATAGAGCTTCAGGATGCTGGTGTCAAGTTCGAGGCTGTAAAGAATGATAATGATGGGCTCAACCTCAACATGTTCGATATACGCTTTAAGCATGGTCATTTTAAAATACCAAAGTTCAAAGTCGATGATTCGACAGAGATATTCTTCCGAAACATCATTGCCTATAAACAACACTCCTCAGATGACAAACCCAAATATTTCACCGATCATATGTATTTGATGGATCTACTTATCAACTACAAAGAAGATGTGACCCAACTTCATCGCCATGAAGTTCTTGAAAACTGGCTTGGTGATGACGAAGTGGTGGCACTTATGTTCAACAACCTGGGTAATGGCAAAATCATTGAAGAGCAGTTCTACTATGCTGAACAGTGCAGCAAAGTGAACACTCATTGCAAGAGATGGTGGAACAAAGTAGTAGCTTCATTGAAGCGTGATTACTTCAAAAATATTTGGGTTATTGCAGCTGCTTTTCTCCTCCTCCTTACTTTCACACAGACTGTCATTTCCCTAATTACTATTCTTACTTCGTCCCCATCCCTATCCCCACCCTGACACTGATATGATGTTGTTTGTTTCCATTTTTTCATTTCAACAAAATATTCTGCATCTGCATATGTAGACAGCTTGTATGTTTGTATTAATCTGAGTGAGAGTGAATGTGTTTTCAGAATAAGTGTAGTGATTATTAAGTTAACTCATAAACTTCATGTGAGTGTTTGTGATTTTTTCTACACTCGGTTTTTATGTGTGTAAATATTATATGTTCTTAAGATTTTTGTTAGAATGAACTATGATTTTACTTTCAATGTCTATTCTATTAGAATTATCGCTTCTCCAGTAAAACAGATCTACACTAGACCAAGGAGGGGCATAAGAGAGGCAAATGCCCCTCCTCGAAATTTAAAATTTTTTTGTTTTTACCCATAAAAAATTTAGAAAAGAATTTCAAATTACCTCCTCTTTTTGCTTTTTTCAACTAAACCCCTTCCTATCCCCCTAGTATATATTACTTTGAAGAGGAGACTATTGTAGGGGATGAAAGTCTAAAATGGTATCCTAAAACTAAGAGAGAAACTTTCAAACCCTTCTTCCCAGACATAAAAATCCAAATCTACACTATAGAAGTATTTTTAAAACTCATTGGAGGAAAATTGAAAATTGCTAGAGAGAAGCTCTCTAGTGCCCCGTGTATTTGGAAGTTTACTGCATGGTAGTATAGATTCGGGTTTGTAGGACTCATTAAAAATTTTATTTTAATAATTTGAATCGTTCATTTTATAAAAACTTTCATATATATCATTCAAAAAAATATTTTAATTATAAATTATTCAATTTATCAAATTTATGACAAATCATAGTACCAATATTAATTATAAATTATTCAATTTATCAAATTTATGACAAATCATAGTACCAATAATATGAGAGTCCACGGTTCCAAAAAAAAATAATAATATGAGAGTCCCCGATAAAAAAAATTAATAATATGTGAGTCCTACAAAACTGTGCTCTCTTATTATTGCCTTAATTAATGATGTAATAAAATAAAGAAATAAATCAGTGTGCAGTACAAAACAAAACGCAACACAGAAAAAGCTTATTCACCCAGAAACATAGAAAAAGCTTACAACCGTCTCGCTTTTTATGTCTGGTAATTTGATGCAAGCTACCATTCCTAGTTACACTTGGCCAGATTGGTTACTTATTAATTTGGTCCTTTTAATTTTATTTAGTTTAATTTTATTTTAAATTTAGAATTTTATCTTAATTTATTTAATTGATTATAATTTTTTAATATTTTTAATGAAAAATTCACTCATAAATCACATGTAACTATTTTTTTATAAACAAAATTGTAAGTTCTTAAACTTAGCAAGTTATCTTCAAGTAATTTGGCAACTATTTTCTTTCAAAAATTCTAATTAACATTATTAACTTGATCAAATTGATACAACATCTAAGGCCAAGTTTGGCATAATGCCAAAAAGCCAAAAAGTTACTTAAAAAGTTAAAAAGTTATCACTATTCACCACAAGTCAAAAATTACGGCTGCACAACTCTCAATCCTAATTTTCCACTACAAACTAATTTATACAATTTTTTAATACACATTTTTCCACAAAAGTCAAAAAGTTAACCCAAACATCCATATTTTTTTCCTCAATTTTTTTGTCCAAAAAGACAAAAAGTGCATTTATTTAGGACACCCCAAATAACCCCTAAGATTAATAGTCAAAATTGAGCTAACTTAAATGATAAAGACCAAAATAACATAAAAGACAAAATACAAGGACTATCGATATAATTTATCAAATATATAAATGGCAAAAAATAAAAAATAGAGCCAGAACAATATTACCATTAAAAGACACCGAATTTAATATGGTTTGACCAAATTTAATAGGGTAGATATAGTGATAGTTAAAACAGACTAAACCCTTATAGTTGAAAGCACAATTTCGTTATTAAACTCTAAATTAAAAAACAAGAAAAATGTTTTAAAGCTCTAATTCTTGAGCTCTAGGTAGGGGTGTAAATCTGGCCCGACCCGGTCCACCCGAACTTGGGCCATAGTGGGCCTCTTGAGCTCCTGCCAAAATTCGGGCCGGGCCGGGCCAACCCATAGGCCAAAAAATTAAACCAAGGCCCAAGCCCAGGGGTATTTGGGCCTTGGACCGGGCCAATGGGCTTAGGGTAGGCCTCGAGCTTGGGTCGGGCTTGGGTAGGCCTAACCATTTTTTTTTGTTTTTTTAATTTTTTTCTACCAAAATTTAATTATTTTCCATTAAAAAATACATTGGGCCTTGGCGTGGGCCGGGTAGGCTGGGCTTCGGGCCGGGCCCTAAGTGGGCCGATGGGCCAAGCCACAAAACAATGGCCCAAGCCCTAGTCAAGCGAGGCCTAAACGAGTCGGGCCCATCTCAGGCTGCGGACCATTTTTACACTCCTAGCTCTAGGAGAGTTCTAAACAAGTGGGTTCTACTTGTGATATGATGTGTGTGTGTGTCTCTATTTTGTTTATTTTGGGGCTGCCATATCATTAGAGCTCTAATTAGAGCTCTATAATTAAAGCTCTCTATCATTGCTGAAAAAACAATTAAGTTTCATTTGGCAATAGACTTTTTGGTTAAATTAGTCACAAAAAGATAAAATAAATAAAAAAAATCAATAAAACAGAATGTCACATCGAAATCATAATTATTTCACTTTTTTTTTTCTCACAAAAATCAAAAAAACCAGCCCAAACAAACTTTTTAGCCTGAATTAAAAAAACTAAAAAGCCAACTAAAAAAGTCAATTGCCAAATGACAACTTAATAAATAAAATGAGTTAATGTTGTAATTTTTAATTCAAGAGGCTAAATTAATATAAAACAATAGTTGAGGGGATAAAATATAGGAAAATTTACCTATAAATCTCATATTGAGGAATAGTGATACATTTAGACCCAAAGATTTTCTTATAAACCAATTAGTCCCATTGATTTTAAAAGGATATATTTAAAAATTAGATTTACGGTTATACCCTTATTTTTATTATGTTTCCTTCTCTTTTTTTTGCTTTTGTGCTAGAAAGGTAAGGAACACAATGTATGAGAATCAAATTTGAGATGGATTTTTATATGAGAATCTTTTTTATTTGGCAAACATTTCAATAGGAGTACAAAAATAACTTAAAATATGAGATTCTTCAAACATTCTAAAATGATGTGGGATTTTTCAAATATTTCAAAAGGAGTACAAAAACTCCTTAGTAAGTTTTGGGCAAATATATAATTTCAAACTATAATACTCCAATGTAACACTCAAACGTAATACTTCAAAAAAACTCCTCAGTGTAACACACTACAGGAAATTAGAGATTTTATGGCGTTTAATTAACGAAGTTTTATGAAACGTCACTTTTTTGAATAATTAACGGCGTTTTTTAAACGTCGCTTTTGTTGTTAATCAAAACGGCCCCGTTTTATGAATAGAAGACGCTTGGAAGCGCCTTCAAATGACAAACCCTATTTTGTCTCTCCACACCTTTATTTTGAAAACCCACCGCCGTCAAGTTTGAAGCTATCACTCACTCAAATCTCTCACTCTCTTGCTCTCTCTCGATTCTTCTTCAGAGCGATTGCGATTTCGAAGTTTCTCAGACCCAACCTATCTGCAGCCGTATGGCTTCAATCTTGTAGTTTCTCAGAGCGATTGCAATTTCGAAGTTCAATTTTGAGCACTGCTGTCTACAATCTCAGAAAAACCAATAGAATCCTTCAAAATCTGCTTCAGCTCCGTGATTTCGAAGTTCGATTTGGAACTCTTCGTCTTCTTCAATCAGAGGTTAGGGCTTTCGGTCCTTTGTTTTACAATCTCAGAGCTCTACAATCTCAAAACTCTAGATTGTGCTTTCAATCCTTTGTTTGGTTACTGAGAAAAATTCTCATTACCTCTGAAATAACATCATATATTTGAAAAAAATCTTAGTTGTTCTCTGCTTTTGACTTCTCACTTTTTTCTCATGCTTTGATTAGGGATAACCTTTTTTACAAGTTATGGACGAGTAAATTTATTCATTTTCTAAGTTTATTCAGCTCTAAACAGTGCAATTATCATAGGCATTATGTAGTTCATAGGCATTCGTAAACAGTGCAATGCTTTGATCCAGGTATTCGTAAGTCTGTATTCTTTTGATTCGATTATGTCCTCTCTGCATTTCCTCAATTCATCGCTCTTGTTTCTTTTTCTTTTTTGAGTTTCGGTTGAGAGTTTCTAGTTTTAATCTCGGTTCTCGAGAAAGAAGTGAAACTTTAATTGATTTTAATTGTATACATCGATCGCAGAAAAACACTACACTTTCGATGCAGAGTTGAGTCGGAAAAATGAAATAAGGCCTACTTCATATGGATACAACTTAGAAGTGAATATATATATATATATATATATATTGAGTGCAATAGTGACACTACCAATAGAAGATCTCAAATAAGATCAGATAGACATTTATTGAGTGCAATGGTGACACTGTCAAGTGTCATTTGTGAGGTGTGACTGATGTTTTCATTGATTTACAGATGATAGCATGGCAATCTTTATGGCATTCCAAAGTCCACAGTTGGAGGTTTTAGGCTTAACCACAATATTTGGTAATGTTACTACAGAAGATGCCACTCGCAATGTATTGCTTCTGGTATGTGTTTAGTTTATTCTATTTTCCAACACAGTAATTCATGCTTTGGCATAATTTCAGGTCTTTTATATTTTTGGAGCATGTTCATGACCGATAACTATTTTTAATGTTCAAAAGGACTGTGTGAGATTGTTGAATGTCCAGGTCTTCCTATGGTAGAGGGTACCCTTGAGCCTTTGAAGGTAACTGCTTTTACATAAAATTTGTGGCCTAATCAACGAGTTGGCCTTCATTCCTTCTCCACAATTGGACTGTGCCAAAACCTTTTCCCCCTTCTAATGACATGCTCAATTTGTCAAACCTCTCTCTCTCTTGGGGGTGGGGTTGTGGTGGTGGTGGTGGGTAGGTAGGAAAGCCTAGCTGACACAAAGAGGTGTTTCCTTCCCTGTTTTTTCATACGACTTTCGAAGCCTGATCTATGGCATGACTATATGGACAACCAAAAAAATAGGTGATTTCGAGTGAATGAGATTGTTATCCATATGTGATGATCTTATTAGCCCTTCAAGAACAATTCAACTTATTACCTTTAAAATTTTTTTTTTAACAAAGTATGCATTGGTTATCTCAAAATACATTGTCCATTTTTTTTCGTGAATCAACTTTTCTAAAACAAGACAAGAATATATGGATGTGGAATATATGTGACCAGAATAGCTTCTCTTTCTAATATATGGTGTCTTTAGTCTAGGTAACTGTCAATACGAACATTTCAACAAGGTAAATTCGTTATATATTCATATCAATCCATTACTTCTCTTTCTGTGATTCTTTCTTTCTTGTCTTTTTTGTCCAATTTATTTTCTTGTATTATGTGTATGTTGCACATCTTCATATTGCGCTTAAAAAACGAACATGGGAAAATTTACGAGTTGTTTTTCATCAGGTGTTTTGAATTCCTTAGAATTATCTATGCTTAGTTGAAGCATTGGTAACTCATGTAGGGAGGTGCTGCCAACTATTCATGAAGAAAGGAGAACGTTGTCTGGTAATTATGGCAACAACAGTGATTCAGCAGTTTTACAAGTACTTGAAGAGAATTTATTTAAAGAAACTCATGCAACTAATTCAAATGAAAGAGATAATGGTGGTAGTTTATTGATGAAGCATGTTTCATCAGCTTGAGATAATGCAGCACCAACCTCTGCGGTTTGTTTTTCTGGAGCTTGAGCACAACTATGGTTCTCTTTTTTTATTATAACAATTTACTAATTGTGTCTTTGTTGAATATATGCTTCCAGGGTATGCCAAAAATGCTTTCAAACCAGAGGGGTAATAGGACTAGGTCTAAAAGTGGTGGTTGTCCACGACCCGCGGTTTTTCCTTCATATCCTTTTCATTGTAATTTTCTATGGGACTTAATTTTTCCCATGAATGTGTTTGTTTGGGTTGGTTTTTCTTTTTCTTAATAATACACTTATTGAAAAAGCCTTAACTGTTTTGTACTCTTAAAAGGCCTGCAAATGCAAGCACAACAAAATCTGCAATGAAAGAATCAAAGATTCCCAAAATACCTGCTTCAAGGTCAGGTGCTCATTCACTTCCTAAATCCAATAAGAATAATGTGCTCAGTACAAGCCACTCAAAGCATAATCAGATTGGTCAAACAGGTATACTTCAATATTTGCTGGTCATACTAGACCGTTTGTTGAATCAAATTTATTGCCCGCATCAGAAAAAAATGGATTTGTTCAAAGAATAATCAGATTGGCTAACTAGGTTATTATTGTAACAGTATTAATTTTTAAAGGCATTGAATCTGTAATAATTTTTTTTTGAACAAAACAATGTTTATCTGCAATAAATGAAATTGATGTGTCTCTCTGTGATCTGTAACTTATTTTTTCTGCAGATATTGTTCAAAAGAGTGCAAGAATACAAGACCCCTTTAAAAATACTAAAAGTTCTTCAAATAAAGCAAAGGCTGGTTGTGATTCCTCATCTTTGTCTGCAAAATCACCACTTCAGCATCCTAGAAGGAATATGGCAAGACTCCAAAAGATCTTTTGACTGTTGGCTGAGTGAAACATCGTCATAGAATTTATGGGTTTATGTGTGGCTAACCTTTATGCTATATAAGTTTCTTTTCCATATTAATTTAAAAAAAAAAAACCCCATTTGCTGTCCCCCATCCCTCTCTCTGAATGTGCAGCCTAACTCAACTTTAGAAGTACGCTCATCAACCAATCCACAGCCTCCACTAGTCACGAAAGCTAATTGTGGTTTAGAGGTGTTTCCAGCTGCAGTACTTCCACCTACTGGATCACGTGCACCAGATGCCTGTGATTTATATCGGAAAACCGGAGTTGTCCCTCAAAATACTCACTATATCGGTGGGAACATGCGGGATACACAATTTCAAACAATTAAACCTTCAGGTTTGCGGATGCCATCGCCATTACTGGGATTTTTTTGTCAGGTAAGGTTCTGTGTGTTTCTTTAGATGCATGTATGCAAGGTTCAAATATCTGAGGTTTAGTATGGACAAGCCCTCGGTCAGAAAAACAAAGAGAGAAAAAATATTTTCACCAAGAATAGTGCCAAATGTATGTAAAGGAGAATCAAATAGCACTGGAGAAGATATCTCTAGTTTTGGGGATTCAAGCATAACAAAGTCCCCTCCCCTGTCTCTTGAGTTAAAAAGGGAATCCAATTTTCCAAAGCCACCATCGCCTTCTAAGCGGATTTCCTCTTTCCTATGATCATCATTTGACTTCAATGCAAGAAAAGGAAATGATGTCTTATTTAACAATGAAAAGCAGCAACCTTTGCTAAGGTGCTTTAGCTACAAAGAGATTGCGAAAGCCACAAAAAATTTCCACCCGGGTATGAATACTAATGCAACTTTTGTCATTCAAATGCTTCATTACCAATTGCTTTTTTTTTTCTTTCGTAATAAAAATTTTAAAGGGTGATTAACAAAATTTCAAAATTTCATATGATTGCTTGCATCATTGCGCAGATAATATGGTGGGGAGAGGAGGATACTCAGAGGTGTATCGTGGAGATCTTGATGATGGACGTACCATAGCAGTTAAGAGGTTGACAAAGGACAACACAGATGAAAACAAGGAAAAAGAGTTCCTTCTAGAGTTAGAGATAATAGGGCATGTCAACCATCCCAATACTGCAATATTAGTTGGCTGCTGCATTGAAAATGGACTCCATTTCATCTTCAACTTGTCTCCCAATGGAACTTTAGCATCTGCATTGTTTGATTTTGGTTTAGAAATAATCATGTAATGTTTGTTTAAATTTAGTCAATATATTGAAATAGAAGTAAAGTTTTATCCATATTATTGCTATTTTTCAGCTTTATTATAGGTATGCTTTTTAGTTAAATCTAACAGAATTAGCACAATCTTTAAAATAAAAAAAAAAAAAAAAAAAAGGCTATAACGGCGTTTTCCCAAAACGCCACTACAGTGCCAAAGGTCATATTTTTAAAATAGGAAAAAATCTATCACGGCGTTTTTAAAACGTCGCTAAATACTGGATGACGTCATTTTACCGTTATTAACCACATTTAGCGGCGTTTTTAAAAACGTCGCCTATACTAATCTAACGACTGTAGCACGTCCGCGAGGGACCCCGCTACTGTTCAGACTCGATTTGTGCCACGGTTCTTAATCTTGAACCAAAGAGTCCAAATCTGGCAAATCGTTTTGAGAAATAGATTTTTTTGAAAAGAAGTGCCAAACATGGACTGCTTTGCCAGATACAGAGTCGCCACTTAAATATTTTTTATGGGGGAATTTAGGAAACCCTGACTCGGTGCCAAAGGCCACGTGTCCGTCATCACCAAAGTTGCCTCGGCTCGGGAACTTGGGTACGGTCGGGGAAGGTCAGCTATGAGCACCCCCTCTCGCCCGATCCGAAGATCGGCCTCTACTAACCGTGATATCCATTTTTGAAAACGTTATGTGTTCTTATTCTGGTTATTATCCTAGAATTACTATGTTGTGCGCACAGCAAACAGGTATAGACCAAATCGCCTAAATTGGAGCAAAACATTTCATGCTTGTTTTGAAGATGGTTTGCTACACGCAAGTAGGCTAAAATGCAGGTTTTGCCACATTCGAGTGGGCTTTTAGAAAAGAAATCCATCGCCATGTCTAGTGGGCTTAAAA